GTTCCACACATCCCTTGGGATGAGCATCAGCAAACCCTCCCTGGGTTGGTGGCATGGCAGCTAGCCAGGGGGCACCTAGAGATGAGGAAAATAAGACATTTTTGGCAGAGAGACTAGCAGCCTGACTCTGTACCTAGTTAATCAGTATCCCTAATGCACATTCCTGTCAGCCTCTAATCCAGTCAGTGCCCCTTCCTTAATTATCTGGTCTTGCAAGACCTATTTACCTAAATACTTTTTACAGAGGCCGTAAACCATGAACAATACACAACCCCCAGAGGGGGTTATCAGTGCTGGTGCCAGGCCAGGCCTTTAGGTACTGGGACTCACAGACCCCCATCCCAATACATGGGCTTTTTGCAAAGCATGCAAAAGGTCCAGAAGTCTGATCCTTATTTGGGGGACAAAGAAACCAAAGGGTGCAAAGAGAAAGCTTCCTCCATATTGGGTTGCTCAGGATTTGGAAAAAGGCTCCTCTGAGTCACGGTACTAGCACATGTGAAACATCTAGAAATAAATGGGTTTTTCCTGTATCTCTGGGTACTCCTGTGCATTTTTCGGTCACCTGGTAAATTCTGTAACACTACTGGGGATGGTATACAGAGGAAGGTAAGGCTCACTCATTTCCACTAGAACACAAGTCCGTCACCCCGCCCCCCCTCCCCCATAGTTCTGGGTAAAATACAGATCAGGTGGCATCTCCTGTTCATGTCATTAGCACCAATGACACAAAGCTCATGAGTCCAAGGTACCCAATGACCTTTCAAAAGGGGCCTCCTGCGTCCACATGTTGGTTATAGTTGCTGAGCAAAAGCAGCAGAGGCTCTCAGAGATGAAGAGCACAGGATCTGATACCCACATACAGGTTCTGGCCCCAGCCCTGGCAGCCAATCGGAGTGCAGCCTTCACCAATAATTTCACTTCTCCCAGCCTCAGTTTCCCCACTGTCAATGGGGGTCTCAGTTCCTTCTTCACAGTTTGATTTGCTTGTTTTTGTGTTTGTTTTTTTCTCCTCAAAAAAGAATTAAAAAGGAACCAGTCTATATGGGGTACCGTGTAAATGCCTGTAAAACCTGAATTTTTAATAAAGAGGAACAGAGGTCCCCTTCGTGTTCCATTATGTTTCTTCTGTCATTATGCGTGAAAGTTGCCTTTAGTACAAGCCATTACAATGCTCAGGCTGATTGTCCCTCCCAGTGCTGCATCCTACACCCCATCACATACAGGAATCTCCTGGGGCCCTCAAAGGGACACACAAGGAATTAACTGTGGGAGGACGAATTAATCCACCCCAACTGAACAACAGGGGTGCCTTGAACTGCAGGGAGGTAGAAGGCACACAAAGTGTATTTGTTATGGAAATGAGCCAATGTGGCTGCCGCATATTGGCCCCTCGGTGGTTTATTTTCCCACTGGAGACTGAGATCCATTAGCTGAAAAGCCTACTGGTGCCAAACTCAAATTTTTACACATCCAATTCTTTTTAAAACAGCCCAAACAAGCAGATTTTTAGCCATTTAGGGTCTACCTGCTTTGCATAATAAACCTCAACCAACAGCTGTTACCCATTGATAAGCTGCAGGCGTCTTTAAACTATGGCCCCGCGGGCCACATGCGGCCCGCAGAGGAGTCTGATCTGGCCCGCCAGGTTTTTTAGGCAGTGAGCGCAGCCGAGGTGTTACAGTAGAAATTTAGTAGTTCATATAGTCCGGCCCTCCAGCTCTCTGAGGGACCGTGATCTGGCCCCCACTTTAAAAAGTTTGAGGACGCCTGACTAGGGCCTTGTAGCTATATGGCTTAGAGCCTCTTTGCTGCCCCTCAGAGCTCTCCGAACCCAGAGACTCCTCACTGTGCTACCCAGTGATAGACATCACCTAGGCACAGTAACCCCCTCTTCAAAACTCCTCCCCCTACAGATGGGGGTCCTTAGGTGCCTCCCTCCGGTCAGCCTCATGCTATGAAGAGCTTCCCTTCTCATGCAACCGTGTCCAAGCACCAGTAAAGCTTGTGTGTTCCTGCCTTCCATGCTCGTATCTTTTCCACAGTGCTCCACAGACCAGAAGTATGGGGGGTGGGAGGATGGGGAGGTTGGCTAGAAATGGAGCACCATGGATCCTGCCCCAGACCTACTGAGCCAGACTCTGCATGCTAGCACAATCACCACAGTTGTATGCATTGCAGCAGATTCCTGTGCGCACTGCAGCTCGGAATCCTTCGCTGGGGATTGGTGTAGTAACCAAGCTCAGTGCTCCAAAGAGATTTGTGTGATAGAGACGTCAACCCCCATTTGGGCTGAGAAAAGCCCCTGAAAGTGACAACTAATCCACTTCACTGACTCTTCCTTGTCTTTCTCAGTCTAAGCAGGCAGGTGTGAAATTGCAGGCTGCCAGGTATGCCCCCTCTTACACAGGGGAGAGACTCTTCATTGGAAACCCCGATGCTGTGGGTCCTGTGCACACATGACCAATTGCATGTATACACCCTGAAGTGAGCATACAGATATGACCAGATAATTCCCCCACCACTCCCTACACACACACACACACACACACACACACACAGACACACACACACACACACACATGCACAGGCAAGCTCCACTCACACTCACACAGCCATCCACAACACGGCCAGGGCCTCCTGAGGGTCTGTTCTGGGGGATGGGGACCAAATAAAATGGTGTCTTACAAAATCAAATAAAATGGTCTCTTACAAAATGCAGCGGGAGTCTGAGAGGCTCTGACAAGGAGTAGCCAGGAACAAAAGAGCCCCTACCATACAAAGGCGCATCGATCCAGTGAGTGACTCTGAATGGGGCTTGCCTGCTTCCAAAGCTACACGGCTTAAAACCCCAGGGCACCATACAGAAGGGGACATCCTAATTATTACCCAGAGAAGCCTGGTGAGACAGGTGCAATTTTCTTGTGCTTAATATATCTGCCTTTAAGACGTTTTATATGCTTAGGTACAAATACTCCTAGACTGTCACGCCCATCTAGGAGCTGGAAGTGGATAAAAAACTGCTTTTCAAACAAAATATGTCATTAAGTCCATGCCATGAACTTCAGTAGTTTTTAGGAAAGTAGTGCTGGTCCTTATTCAGAATTCATTTACTCTGACATTGTGCACAATTCTAAAAATCTAAACTGAGATTTGATTTCTCAATCCATGAATGACTATAAGCACCAACTTAGAATTAACCCAGAGTGGGTTAGGGCAAGGTTTGGGTAAGAAACTAGTAAAAGCAGCAACTACAGCACCAGTAGTACCAAGAAGTAATAGAGTGCCTAAGAACAGCTGACCAGCAAAAACAAAAGGCACTAGAGGCTATTGAAAGGACCCATATAAACTCAAAAGCATCTATGATAAGGACCCTGGGGATTGATACTACACAATCCAATATTTTCATAATAAACTCCTGATCATCAATAATCACAAATCCAATTACATTTAATCATTTTTAATATTTTCAGTTTAAGATAGACATTATTACATGTATAAATAATTCTGCAGTCAAACAGATTAAAAAAAAAGTTAAGGTCTTGACACAGAGTTTAGTTTCAATTTTGAAGAAAATACATTAAAATGGAATAGTGTGAGAACAGTTAAGTGTGGTGCTGCTTTACTAAATCAATTAGATTCTGACTTGCCTGGCATGGAAGCATTTGGAAGTCTCTATTAATTGAGTGCACAGTTTCAGAATATCAATTCAGCCCAAGTTAGCTGGGCATCTGCAATGGGCCAAGTGCTGTATTAGCTGCTAACCCTATGAGGAAAGAAACAGGCCCTTCTTAAAAGAGCATAGGAATTCTCAAATGCCTTCTAATTGATCATGTGGTGGTGGTGGTAAGGGGGAGGGGGTGGATCTGGTTTGAGTGGGAGGTACATTTTATGAAAGCTGGATTCATTGGGAAATGACAGTGATTTGTGTGTGACACAGATGGGAACTCTAATATCCTGAACATTGGAATAACTGTATTCACCTGGGGAGTCCCAGCCCCCCAAAAAGTCATCCATAAAGCAATAAGAATATCTCTCCATTTTTTAACCACAAGAAATCAACAGTATATATATATATATATATATATATATATATATATATATATATATATATATATATCTGTCTTTAACAACCTCCCCTAGACAAGAGAGAGAGAACACATGAATTGAAGAATTCCCTTGCCCTACATCTGCCCAGTGTAAATTGTGGCTAGACTTGGACTAATTGCAGAAAGGTGAGCTCTCTTCATGCCCTGCCTCTGCTGGGAGGCAGAGAACCAGGAGAATGGAGATGCCCTGAACCTGCCAGAGGCACTCTCAGGGGCTAACACCCACGGAGAAGCTTATTTCCTCTACAACCCAGAGAGAGCAGGTCAGGGACCCATGCCTCTCTGGCGCCTTGTGGGTATCCCTCCCACGTAGTGAGTGCTGGATGGAGGCACACCTTCATAATTCTCTTTCTGTGATCTCCATGCGACCTACACACACACACACACACACACACACACACACACACACACACACACCTATTGCATTCCAGCCACACATAAACTTGGACTCATAGTGGTAGAAACTACAGCTGGAAGTGAGAGAACATGGAGAAACTGAGGCCCTTCTCTAACCTACGGCTCTCTGAGATTTTTAGCTGCTTCTTGAGCGAAAAGATTTAAACCAAAAATGTATATATTTTTCCAAGCTGATTTTCTTACCTTTCTCCCTACCAAGGGTTTTCCTTTTGGCAAAGGAAAGGAGGAAGGGAAAGATTAAAAAATAAATAAATAAAAGAAGGGAGGGAAGAATGAAGTGAAAAGGGGGAATGGAGAGAGGGAAGAAGAAGGAGACATTGAAGAAGTCTTAGAAAAATATTACAGAAGGAGATAGTGTCATGAGAGCCTGGAGGAAATCCAAGCTGCAGCCTGGGACTCTTAGCAGGTCCCTTCCATGTCCATCCTGATGCCAGACTTCTCTTACCCCCTCCCCTTACCACGCCCACAACCTACCTTCACTGAAGACAAAATCAGAGATGATGTCAAAGGGCTGGATGTGGACTGCATACAGGATCATGGTGACTGTCTTCTGCGGATCGCTGGAGGTTAGTGAAATGGTCTGCTGAGCCTGACACTCATAGGACTTCCCAGCTGGTGTGACCAAGGCAGAGAGGCGGTGGGAGTTGGCTGTGTGCTTCCCAGCTGCAGGGAAAACCAAAGCAAAGGTGAGGCCTCTCTGGCTGGCAGAACCTTCCTGGTTCCTAACCTCCCCAGCCAGGGAAATGGCTCTTGCTTGTCAGCTCCAGACCTAATCCAACCCTCTGTGCGGCCAGGCAGTGTCATCTCACCAGAGTTGAGGCTCTGCCTATAGCATCAAAGGAGAAATACACCCATTCCTTCATGAGCAGGAGCTCCTTAAATATTCATTTGGAATTTGGGAAAATTTTGGAATTTCTTTTTAGAAAATGAGCATGATACCTAAAAACCCAACCCTTTTCACTCTATAAAACCTAGCAACGCAGATCCCAAAGACCCAGGACAGTGACTCCGTTTGCCACATTTCACACTGGACCTCAAAGAATAAAATATCTTCCTCATAAAGCAAGATTTCTTGTGTCCTGGGCAGACACCTTGGGAAAATGCTTGAATGTGAATTTTTATGAACATTTTTTAAAATGCCCTTTTATTTTTTTTTATTGTGATGATAAAGGGTGGGAAAAGGGAAAGATGACATAGATATTCTTTCACGTGCTCAATTCAAGTCTTTTCCCAGCCCAGGTGCTCAGGAGATCGAAGGCCTCCTTGTGAATTTATTAGACAACTGAGAAAACCAATCAATACATTTAAATGTGGTCTCTGACGGCGCTTGCAAATACAAACTTTGTTATTTGAGGAATGGACATTCCTCTGGCCACGGTATTTTTGGAGAATCTGGGTGAGTTGTTAAAAATGATGGGCAGAAACAGCTCATAAATTAGGCCACGGAGCAGAATGCACTCTGGGGTGGCTTCAGTGGATGCCTGCAGACGGCTGGGAGCCCTGCTGTCCTGCAGCAAAAAGATACTGAAGGCATGGGATCCTGACGGGAAAGTCAGAGGCTCCCTTCAAGTTTTAGAGCCTGAGAAGGAAAATGGGGAGCAGAAACTTATGCAGCTTTGTCCTTCCCTGCGCCCCTGGAAAGGATAGATCCTAAGAGGTCGCCCCCAGGCAGCCAGGGGAGGTCAGGCCCTCAGAGGAGACTCTCATCTGGCATCAGGCCAGGGGTGCCTGCTTGGTTCTCAGCCCGGATTCCTGGCCGCGTGTACAGGCCTGAGATCAGGAAGACCCACTGGCGCTTCCACTTTCTCCGCGTTGGAGAATACTCATGGGAGCCAAAGCCCGGATCTGTTTTCAGAAAATTTCCGAATTTCCGGAGGAATTCGGCCTCCCTGCCTGTGCTTCTGCAGTGTCCGCGCTTCCCCAGGCTCCCTCTCCAGCCCTGCTGACCTCTACGCACCGGTGACTGCGTCTTTAAAATGGGTCTTCTCCGAGGAGTCGTAGACAAACTGGACCTTGCTCAGCCTCCACGTCGCCTCGGGGCCCTTGGAGGTGTTGTGACCTTCCTGCCCAGCGAGAAGGCGCGCATCAATGGCCCCTGCAGCTTCTGGGTGGAGACACTGAGGGGCGGCCCTTGCCCACACCCTCCCGGGAAAGCCTTCGCGCCCCTCGGCTCCGAGTTACCTTTACAAACAGCATTTTGAGAGAGTACGCGCGATCCACCCAGAACACCTGCAGCTCCGACTCGTTGTGACCACAGCGGCCTTTCACCTCCGCTCCCCGGGTCAGTGAGACTTCAGCCTGTTCCGTGATCAGCTGGGAACACAGACGCCCGCACCCCCTCAGCGCGCCCTGCCCCAGTGGGGGTTGCACAGGGAGGCGCGTCCACACTCCGGGTTGCACGCCTGGGCTCTCTTTTGCGCGCGTGATCCGAGGTCTGGGAACATGCGGTTAGATGCTCTACGTGCAGACCCCGCCGCCGTTAGGGAAGCAGAGAGAGGGGGTTACTTTCCAAGCAGGCAGAGCGAGCAAAAGGCGTTACAAGCCGGAACCCCCCATGCAGCATTCAGGAGCAGCCTGCAGGGGCCAAGGGGGCAAGGCAGGCGACCCAGGCCTTCGTAGGGCATTGAGGGTGAGTGCCCTTCGCCCCTGGAGCCTTAGGAGCAAGCTGGGAAGGAGAAGGTTCCTTACATCGACATAATTGCTGGCCCACACATCATAAGGGACAATAAATTTGGCTGCAAACTCTGCCATGAGACAGGTCGTCCCATTTTCCCGCACCACAAATATATCTTTTTCGGGGTTAGTGGAAAGGCCTGAGAGATTTTCCACTTCTTGTTCTGCCGTGATTCGAGCCATTGTACCTGCGGGGGGAAAAATCCTATCGGTTCCAGGCTCCCTGAGCCCAAGGATCTGGTGACAAATGGTTGGAGGTCCCGGTCTGCGGACTCTGGAGTGACAAAATTCCCGACAGCTGTGCGACCTGCGAGCCTTTTCTCATGCCAACAAATTCAAGCCCATTACTGTTAATTTATAACAGAAATAAAGTTTAAAAGGAAGCCTTTACTCACTTATAGCCAAACTGGCCTTTTTTTTTTTTTTTTTTTTTTTTTTTAAATCTTAGGATTTTAAACCAAATCTTTCTTGCCAATGCTCTGACCCCACGAACAGGCCGGTATAGCACTGTCTGGATATGGCATACAGGTGTGTGGCTTTCTGGGGAATTCCTTGTCCCTAGCAGGGAAGCCCTCTTCCCCCTCCTTCCACTCCTGTCTTCATCCCCACCTCCTCCTAAAACAACAACAACAACAACACGCAAAATGTTATGGCCTCTTCTTAAGCTGCCGGACTTTATTTACTATGCTGGCTCTTTTCTCTGCAAAAGACTACTCAGCCCTCGCGATCGCCAAAACGTTACTCACGGAACAGCATTAGGAGAACTCGAAGTCTATTAAAACTGAGAACGGCTCTTCCTCGGAGATCCATGGTTGCCTTGCAGCGAATGAGGCCAGATGTGCTGCTGCAGAGGCCGTCCGAGAGGGAATCCCTTAAACTCGCGTCTGGAGTGAGCTGGGGTGAGCCAGTGGCGGGGGCGCTGAGAGGGAGGAGGGATGGAGCGCGTGCTCTGCAAGCTCTGGGGAGGACTTGGTATCTGCTGCGGCACCCTGCCGACCAACGCTGGCTGAGCTGGATCCTGCTCGCTGCAGGGGATTGAGCCGCGCGGCGAGGGAGCTGTCCAGGGCTGCGAGTGCTGAAAGGAATGGGTTGTGTTGCAGGAGTGATTGTGGCTTGGATTGTGCAGAGGACCAATGAGATTGGGGGCGGGGGTTAAAATTCTCTCTGAGTCTGTTTCCTGTTCTGCAGTTGCATCCGCAAAGATGATTCTGTCCTGAGAAACTTAATGGACTTATTTGATATCCTTACCAAAAACAGTAGGTGGTGTAGATATCACAATCACATGACTAGAGTCCTAGCTTCTGAAAATGCATCCAGCTCCTGAAAGAAAATACTAGAGCACAAATTGTTGTTGCTTTAGGGGTGCGGGAGTAGGCAGTAAAAGGGAAGGAAAATGCTATGGCAACCGTTTCCTGCATTGGGAGGCATCTCCTCTTCCCTGCTCACAATGAGCTCGTGGGTTCTCAGTTAAATTGCTGCCTCCCCAAACAAGGCCATCAGTCAATGCAGTATATCCATAGGGCTTCCTTCCCATGAGTTCTGCTGTCTGATTGCATGAGCACTCTGAACTCTAGGGTCATTTACTTACCCTCATTCATTATATTGTATTTACTGTGCCAAGAGGAATGTAAGTGAACCTGAAGTTTGTGAGGGCCACCTAGGGTCTCTTAGTAATATTTAATAGTTATATAAACACACACACACACACACACACACACACACACACACACACACACACTGATATTTCTGTTCAGCACCTAATGGGGCAGAAAAACAAATATTACTGAGCTAGCTCCTATATTTATATTCTTGGTAGCTAATCTTTTTTTCCTCTCTGTAAGTCAGAATCAGAATATAGCTATTTCAGCAACAGACATGCAGTTATAATTATATCCAAATATTATATTTCTTAAAGGTTTCATTATGTAAATAATGAGTAATATAAGGTCATAAAATAATTATATAAAGGGCCATTATAAAATTTTATACTCCTATTGCTTTAGAAGGCAGGCAAGGAAAGACATACCTTATTGTGGTTGTATATGTCCTAAAACTAAGGCTCAGATAAATTAAATGACCTTCCTAAGTATCACATGGTCAGTTAGAATTAAAATAGAAAAATCACATGCTTTGACTTTGTAGGGATCATCTTTATTTTTTCTTATATAATACTTTGATTCCAAAATATACCATATTTTTATTTCCATAAAAATCTTTACTCAGTGACCAAATAACAAGCTGAAATCTAAACTCTATCATTAATTCACATTCCTGAAATGTATAGAATTCTTTTTTAAAATAAATTAATATTGTAATATAATATTTGCTCCATAATATCTGTAATTATTTTCTCAAATCTGTTCCTCTATTAACAATTAGATAGATATTTTGCATCTTTATATTTATCTCTGTATTTTGATATTTTATCCAAACATTTCTCAAGAACATTTCATAAATTGTTGTAGCAGATTTGGCTCAATGGATAGAGTGTTGGTCTGCAGACTGAAGGGTCCAGTCAAGGGCACATGGCTGGGATATGGACTCCATCCCTAGTGGGGTGTCTGCTGGAGGCAGCTGATCAATGATTCTCTCTCATCATTGATGTTTTCCTCTCTCTTTTCTTTCCTCTCTCTCTCCCTCTTTCTCTCCCCCTCTTCCCTCCTCTCTGAAATAAATAAAAATATATTTAAGAAATAACTTTTCATAAATGATTATATATAAAATAATTGAAGTAAATCCTTATTCATACAAAATCAATTATCATCAGTTGAGAGTGGAAGCTATAAAATGTATATGTCTTACAATGTGTCACATTAGCACTCTATATGCTAGCAATTATTATTTTTCTGTAGTGTTGTAAAAACTAGAAAACAATGAGACATATGTAATGAAGCCATTAGATTTTCTCTGTCTCTCTCTTTCTTTTCCTACAATACTTTAGTGAGAAAAGAAACAAATAGATTTCAGTTCAGTTTTCACTATTTTTATTACACAGATTTTAGTATACCTCATCTTGGAAAATGGCATAATAACTCAAAAGATAGCTGGATAGGCAAAGTGAGCCATTGAATACAAAGCATTCAAAATGAAAGACAAATCAATTTAGCCTATCAATATTAACTGAATATCTACTACCTACACTCTGCTTGGTGCTTTGGAAACCCACAGATAAACAAATACCATTATACAAGTAAAAGAGATATCTGTAAAAGATTAAGACAGTTTTTCTTGTGATACATTATTTCATATATCCTCACTTTATAAGTTGTTAAAAGATCAACTAAATTCATTGATGACTCTCTGCTTTAAAAATAAAATATTAGATGGGAAGTAGCATTGGTTATTAATGTTAAATTATTGTAGCTGATTTATATATCAGATGGTGATTCCTTTAAAAATGGTTTCCTTCATATCTGACACAAATAATTGCTTTGTTGATACAAGAGAGTATTCTAAAGAGTTAAAAGGAAAAAAAATGAAAGCAACTTTAACCCTTTCTTCCTGGGAATATTATCTTCAAACATAATTAATTTAATGATCTTTTAGGAATTTAATTTGAAATATAGTTTACAAATACCCATTAATTTATTCATTTTATTCCCAGTGATTCTTATGCTCCAATAGGAATTAAACCATTGTACCTACAAATTTCAGCTACACCAATTACAAAACTTTCTAATCATCCTTTTGAAAAAAAAAGTTAGTTTTTAAATTACCAAAGAGATAATAAAGGAGCAAAACTTATCATTAAATCATATTTTTAAAAAAAAAAAAAAAAAAAAAAGTGTTTCATTTGCTCCATTCTTCATTTCTGGGGTAGGGAATTATGAGAAACTGACAGAAATATGTACATTCATGTGGCTGGTGGCTGTGTCAGTTTTCATCATTGCTGCTGATGGTCAATGCAAAATATCAGAGGTAAGTATGACCAAGCAAGTTGGCTTTGGGATCTCCTCTAGATCCTCAAAGACCTTTGAAGGATTCTCTTTGATTAATGTACTTATTGAATTAGCTTTTATGAATCTCATACCATTTGGTGATTGCTTCTTTATAGAAGTGGGGAAAAGCCTCCTGAGTGTATGAAGAGGGTACATGAAGATATGAGTTTGCCTGGCACAAGGTGTACAGGGATGTTTAGGGAAATAAAATGTAAGACAGCCAACCCCAGGTGGAGTGGGATCAACCAATGAAGGCCATTTGGAGAAGGTGGGTCTTGAAAGAAATGGGAATATTGTCCTGGTGTGAAAAACAAGGAAGGACAATGCAGATGGAGGAAATATATGTTAAATAGGAGAGTCAGTGCAAAAATATAACTCTTTTATCCTTCCATATTTATCCCATAATGCTTTATAGACTACATAACCCCTATTTAACCTATGTATTTGATAATTTACCTACGTATGGCATATGCAAAATAATGGCATATGAAAAAATATCCTAAATAAAATCACATATTTAAATTGCTAGGTATATCTCTTTCTGCTGGATTGTATAAGCAATTGATTTGTATTTGTAGAATCAAGAAACAAAACCACAAAAAAGCAGGAACAATTGCTAATTAGAAAACATGTTTATAAGATTCAAAAGGGTAAAGTTAGGTTTTTTCGCAGCTGAAATTTGCCTTGTTGATATTTCTGTCCATAGTGAAATGTAAAAATGCATGTAGCTCCACTGTCCCCATCAGCACCAGCAAGCATGCGTGTGCATACACACACACACACACACACACACACACACACACACCCGGGCGGGGGGGGGGGCCGGGAAAAGGGCAAGAGAAAGACTGAGAGAATGAAAGAATATGGAAAGATGGATAACAGAAGCAGGGATAATTTATACTGGATGAGATGCACGCAGGTGTTTGGCCAAAATTACTACTTAGCAAAACATTTTCTTGTGTTCAGCTTATCACTAAACAATTATTTCATTTAATTTAATCACTGCTTTTGAATATCTTTGAAACCTTTTCTAGGATAGAAACCCTTTTGGGATAGGAACTGAAAAGTATTAAGTCTATGCAATAATATTTTGTGTGTAAATTGCCAAACGCTGGAATATTTGGCAAGACTCAGAAAGCTGATTGCAAAGTGCTAAATATTTGGAAAGAATCAGAAAATTGAGTTTGGGCCTTCGATGCACTCAGCTCATATGTCCTTGATGAAATGTCCCTCATCCTTTCATTTCACGGGCCTCTCCTGCACCCACTTTAATGAAACAAGAGCTGTTTCTGCAATAAGGGTAACAGCAGAGGGGATAAGAAGCCAGAAAATATCCCTTTCATTGGCAACGTGTGTTTATGCTAAATTCTTAGAAAATGGCCTGTTCATGAGTTCACTTAAAATAAATGCCTTCACAGGCTGGAATGCAGGGCACAATGGCAGGTAACAAACCCTGAATTAGCAGATGGTCAGGCCAGGCCATCACTCCCAAAAAGTTCAATAGTAAAGAAATGATTTTTCTCTGTCAATCTGGGAATTAGTTTACTGTTCTGATCCATTTTAAACTGGTTACCACTAGCTTCCATGTGTAAATGTTTATTTAGGCCATGGAGTACCATCCTTTCCTTTCAGAGAGGAAAAAGTCAATTCAGGGCAGAGTACTTTTCTGTAAAATAAAAGAGCCAATTGAGCATTTAAAAAAGTATTTTAAAAGTATTTTCTTTAAGAAATAATGACTACCTCAGTGGGCCTAAGGCTAAGGGAGGCTGTGGCTCATTTAAAATAGTTCGCTACTTGAATTCTGAGATAATGCAATTCCTTAAAATCTTTTTATGATGTGGTACAGGGGTCTCTAGTTCCCAGTTAACTACCTTTTAAGTATCTATTTGAAGCTATCTGCATATTCACTAACGATGAGTTGAAACTAAGGAAAATTGATATTAATTACCCTTGGGGGGTGGGGAGAGGTAGGGTAGCCCTTTATTGTGCTTCAGAGGATGCATTGCTGGTGCACATCTGAGGTCCTGAGAGGCCCCTGGGTGTTCTGATGTTGTAAGGTTGGTTTGTTTCTATGACTTCTACAACTGTTTTTGTGAAAACATTGCAAGACATCCTCCCAGCCCTCCCTTCCTCCTTCCTCCCTCTTCTCCCCCCCCCCCCCCCCACAAACAGGAAGGGGGAAAGTCTTCAGTATTGAAAAGGGGCTGGCATGGTAACCTAGGGAGCAATATGCTAGTTATGCCTTTATTACTCCACTAGCTTCTTCTGTGGCTTCAACATGCCTTTCCTAAAGGATCCCTCCAGGACCACGTGTCATACTAGGCATGGCCTTAGCTGAGCAGTGTTCTG